ACATCAGTGTGTGGACAGTCCGTGTGTGGACGTCAGTGTGTGGACGGTCAGTGTGTGGCTATCAGTGTGTGGACGGTCAGTGTGTGGACATCAGTGTGTGGACAGTCAGTGTGTGGACGGTCAGTGTGTGGACAGTCAGTGTGTGGACATCAGTGTGTGGACATCAGTGTGTGGACGGTCAGTGTGTGGACATCAGTGTGTGGACAGTCAGTGTGTGGACGGTCAGTGTGTGGACATCAGTGTGTGGACGGTCAGTGTGTGGACATCAGTGTGTGGGCGGTCAGTGTGTGGACATCAGTTTGTGGACGGTCAGTGTGTGGACGGTCAGTGTGTGGACGGTCAGTGTGTGGACATCAGTGTGTGGACGGTCAGTTTGTGGACGGTCAGTGTGTGGACAGTCAGTGTGTGGACAGTCAGTGTGTGGACGGTCAGTGTGTGGACGGTCAGTGTGTGGACATCAGTGTGTGGACGGTCAGTGTGTGGACATCAGTGTGTGGACATCAGTGTGTGGACGGTCAGTGTGTGGACATCAGTGTGTGGACATCAGTGTGTGGACGGTCAGTGAGTGGACGGTCAGTGTGTGGACATCAGTGTGTGGACGGTCAGTGTGTGGACGGTCAGTGTGTGGACGGTCAGTGTGTGGACGGTCAGTGTGTGGACATCAGTGTGTGGACATCAGTGTGTGGACATCAGTGTGTGGACGGTCAGTGAGTGGACGGTCAGTGTGTGGACATCAGTGTGTGGACGGTCAGTGTGTGGACGGTCAGTGTGTGGACATCAGTGTGTGGACGGTCAGTGTGTGGACGGTCAGTGTGTGGACATCAGTGTGTGGACGGTCAGTGTGTGGACATCAGTGTGTGGGCGGTCAGTGTGTGGACATCAGTGTGTGGACGGTCAGTGTGTGGACGGTCAGTGTGTGGACGGTCAGTGTGTGGACATCAGTGTGTGGACGGTCAGTGTGTGGACATCAGTGTGTGGACAGTCAGTGTGTGGACGGTCAGTGTGTGGACAGTCAGTGTGTGGACCGTCAGTGTGTGGACATCAGTGTGTGGACGGTCAGTGTGTGGACGGTCAGTGTGTGGACGGTCAGTGTGTGGACGGTCAGTGTGTGGACGGTCAGTGTGTGGGCGGTCAGTGTGTGGACATCAGTGTGTGGACGGTCAGTGTGTGGACGGTCAGTGTGTGGACGGTCAGTGTGTGGACGGTCAGTGTGTGGACAGTCAGTGTGTGGACATGTCCCAGGCTGACAATTATCAATGTCACATACTTACATGCACAGCCTAGGTCACTGATCTTTGCAAGGGGTTGATATTTAGTAATTTTTTCAGAAAAGGCTATGTCCATATACAAATCATAAACACAACCTATTTTAAGGACTAGCACCTCATTTCTATCTGTGTCCATGAGCACAGCATCAGGGGTGTTAGGGGTGATACAGAACACATCATCAGAGCTTTGGAACCAGTCTGGTGTTACTCGTGAATGTTTATACATAGGCATATTTGGAAATATGTCTTGTACAGAACTTGCAATGAGATCTACAATACGGTCATGGCGTACGGTGTATAACCCTTTGTACATATTACAGCCATTTACAATATGAGCAACTGATTCAAGGTGATCAGAGTTAGAGTGCATTATACTGTGTGGATGGTAATCTTCATAATGCTAGGCTGTGTCTGGTTGGTAACAGCTGTAGTCTGGCCTTGACAGTGAGACAGAGAGTATCCGCCCCATTGCAGCATTTCTGTACACAGCATGAGAGGTAGAATGATCAGCAAAGTCAAGACATGCCAACTTTCCCTGCATTCTTAGTCCAGTCCAGTGTTGTTTTGAGTCCATCTGTTTGATATTCATTAAAGATCTTCTTGCTGTTGTGCTCTGTAGTGTGTGTTGTGTCTCATTCTGACAGACTGTGGCCTTCACAGTAACAGATGGGTCTGTGACCACTGCATCAGATGCCTCCGGTGCGGTGTGTGAGTTGCTTTGTGTCCACTGTAGTTTAACTTCCAGTATATTACACAAGTCGGTTAGGTCCGGCCAATCTGAACGAACTCCGAAACCTGTGGCTTGTGTGTCCAGTTTGCCATTGCTCTTCCTCCTGAAGGCTAGGAAGCTGTCTTGATCACCGGTGGCCAAAGGGACCTTTCTCTTCCTGAGGTCCAGTAAGAGGGAAGCTCTGGCTAGCTCTCTGACCGCAGCATCCTCGTGGTTAAGCATGCTGATAAGGTGTGTTAGTCTTGTAGTGGAGTACGTCCATTCCACATTTGGGACCCCAGACCCCCTTCCTTGAGTGTGAGGAAGATTATGTCCCTGGTGGAGTTCAGTCCGAGCTATTTCCTGACGGCCTCCAGTTTCATGGCTACGGGTAGGGGGGAGGAGTCGATCAGATCGATCCTGTTCTTAAAGGCACAGGGCAACTCCTGTACCTGTTCACCCCACTCACCTGCAATGTTGAATTCATGGCCAAGATAGGTGTATGTTTCATGACGAGAGTAGACCCTGATAGGCTGTCCCATTATTGTAAAGGATGGGGGTTTGTCAGATTTTGTACCAGCGGTTTCCACCGCTTCGCCGTTCGTAAAATGCTGCACATTTGGTGTGTTTCACCTCCAGCTTAGACCACTGTAGGAATTCATCCGT